TTACAGTTTCCATGGCTTAGGCAGCGCCTCATTCCATATCACTGTTCATAGAGTTCACTGCTGAGAAAAGCATTTTAATTTCTTTTCTTGTATTCCATGCCCCCCATCGGTTGCCGAGTTGTGTGACTGCCGGCCTCTTTGTCTTGAGAGAACTGTCCAGATGCTCCGGACCTGCCATCCACCCATCATTATTTTCCGGCTGTTTCCAAAGCCAGCTACAAGGCTGGCATCCTGAGTTTTGAGTTATATTTCCTAGATCCCAGGCTACCCTCTTTTGGTTTGTATAACCCTTCATTTTGCTTGGGCACCTCCTCTAGTAGATTTATAAGAAACAGTACATGAAGGGGACCCACACACATTTGTCTGTATTTGAGTGAGTGAGGATTTAGTCGTTGAAAATAACTTTCTTTGCAGAATTTTGAAGGCAGGTTTCCATTGTTTTCTATATCCTTTATTCCCTACTTCTTTTCTTAAAGGCATCTCAAACTTCTTGAGTCTAAATTAAATTCAGAATCCACCAGAAACCTCTACTTCTAACGTTAAAACACACCACATCTGTTTTTCAATATGGACAAGATTTCTGAAATATATCATACTTCAAATAAATTGCTGGGCTTTCCATTTTTCCTTACCTATGCAGAAAGTAGCAGAAACACGGAGTTGCTGAAGTATTTAGTATTCTTTGCATTCATGTTAGCAGCTTTTTATTGAAAACCCTTGGGACCTTGGCAGCTGGAGTGTGTTCACTTTACACAGAGCAACAGCCAACTTTACACAGAGCAACGTGGGACATCCCTCAACCAATGACTGAGCCTACATCCCCCAGCTCTCTTTCCCTCAGTGACCCAGGTGTGCGAGCTTGCTGATGGGAACCTGCTTACTGACCTTGAACCAGGTTTCTTGTTTCCCAGTATTCCAGCTGGCGCTTTCTGGTACGACCTACTACATAGACCACTCTCATTGAAAGGTTTCAGAATATGCTTTGGATAGAAATCCCAAAATAGTAATACAATAATTTGTCTCTGGGTTTCCAGGCTGCTTTCAGCTTTTCATTACCATGTGTGAGGTTTTCTCCTGGTTTTTATCCTCTGCTGTGTTCATGAGCAGATGCATCCTCAGCCTTAGGAGATATCAACAACACTTCAGTTTGACAGTGTGAGAGAGTCACACCCAATCTTTGCTTGTGTTTCCCTCTTTCCTAGCTGAAGGTTTACCTTAGTGTACATTTACTGGCCACTTTAATTTCTCCTTAAACAGCTTGTTTCTTTTTCTGACCTAATCACCGAGTCCTACAAATTCTGGACACTGGTAGCTTTCAGGTTATGTTCATTGCAAGAAGGCCCCACTGTTTTCTTTTGACGTGCAACATTTCTGTAGAGTTGACCCCTTCTCTTCTGCAGGGTGTATCCCTTCTCTGGACGAAAGACTTTTCTGTAGAGTTAACCCCTTCTCTTCTGCATGGTGACCCCCTCTCCCTGGATGGGAGACTTTTCTGTAGAGTAGACCCCCTCTCTTCTGCATGGTGTGCCCCTCCTTGGAAGGAAGACTTTTAGAAAATCGCTTATTCTGGGTGTTTTGTGCCTTTAGTTTCCTGTTGAAAACAAACGCTGTGACTGATTAATTTTGTCTGAAATAGTTTCCAAAAATCCTTATCATAGAAGACAAACTTAAACAGAAAAATAACACTTACCAAGTCTGATACTGTCAATTATTTATAATACATATTACTCTTAGACATGATAGTACTAGATGCTTTTGTTTCATTTGTAAATGCTTTAGCATTTACTAGGGTCACATCCTTTTCAAGTGCCGCGAAATCGTATATTTTATAGACATAACTATTCATTTTTTTTGACATTTAGGCTCTTTCCAAATTTAAAAGAAAATGCTGTAACAATTTTCCTTGGATTCTTTTTGTGTGTGATGTGTATATACTTGGTGTGTGTACACATGTCACATGTGCTTGCATATGGAGGCCTGAGGTTAATGTGAGGTGTCTTCTACTGTTCTCTACCTCATTTTCTGAGTCAGCAACTCTCATTGTACAGGGAACTCACTAATTGGGCCAGTCGTCTCTCCCTTACCCCACCATTGTTGGGGTTACAAATACATGCCACTGTGTTTGGCATTTTACATGGGTGTCAGGGATCCAAACTGTTATGTAACACCCTTCCTGGAGAGACATGAGCTAATGTCTACTAACCTGATATGGAAGTTCAGGGAAAGATACCACCGAAATTCCACTTGGTGAACCAATGAACTTTATTGGGGTTACTTACAGAAGCAGAAATGACTCACAGATCATTGTACCACCAAAAGCCCACACCAGCATGGGTGACAGCTCATGAAATCTGGAAATCTGTAGTCTACAAGCAGCTCAACAGGTTGGGGTGCCCTTTCCAGGTAGCTCAGACAGTGTCACTGGTCTCTGCTTTTTCCAGGAGGCTTCACCTGTGCTACATAGCCAGCTTGTCTCAGTGTCCCTCAGCAATCACTCACTGCTCATATACGCTTGGGAAGGGAGGGGCCTAGTGTACCTGGTCAGTTTCAGGAACTTCCTAAACCCTTTGAGTTGCTTACTTCCTGAACTTAAGGAACCTCTTAGCAGGATGGACTGTTCCGCCCACCCTCAGTATATCCCCTTGTTTCACCTCCTCTATAACATCTTGTTTCACACAACTTCCCTCCAAGAAAGGTTTTAATTTTAGAGGAAGCTGATACACAAGAAACTCAGTTCCCATGCTTTATGGGAACTGATTCAGCTGCTCTCCTGGCTCCTTGAGTTCATAAATTTGTTCATGATTATCAGGTAGTATTTCTGGGTCCAAACCTAGAATATTATGAATTGGAATTGACTACTAACTTACATTCAAAAGACTGTATCTATAGTACGGCTTAACTAAAACTAAGGACGGACGAGAAAAGAAAACACCCCACTGCTTTGTAAGATAATCATAACTAAAAAAAAAAAAGTTTGAATGGTGGTACCCTATGTACTAGTAGACACTGGTTATTAAATGAAAATATAAGTCATCAAATAAAAATCTCAGTGCAAGGTATGGGATACCTCTCAGAGCAATTGGTATAGAGGCTCCCTAAACAACATAGGCTATTACCATTGCTCTTGGCTGGTCAGCACAGCTAGATGGTAAGTCTCCATTACTGAAGGACAACACAGCATGGTTGCAGGACATCAATCTGGAACTGAGCTGCAAACTTCTTCATTACTGGCTAGCTTTCACAGTGCCAGAAGGTGTGATGCCTACCACCAGGGGAGAAAAGTCATTCATGGACTTACCTAGCAGTAGGCGGTGTACAGTACAACACTAATGTACAGATACAGTAGTGGCATGGCTACCACAGTGGTAACCAACTGCTCTCTAGGATCTGAGGGCCCACTCCACAGGAGAGAATTCCTATGTATGGTATTGTAAAACTGGCCAAATGCCCATGACTGTGGAATTCATGGGCTCTGAGGGGGAACTTACTACTGCTGCTTTGCTAAATGGATACATTTTTGAAGGGCCTTCTAAGTATCTGTGCTTATACCTTGGATCAGTGCTCCTCATAACTCTGGTCAGAGAAGTTCCTTTGTGTAGTGGACAGCAGTCAGCACAGGACTCATAACTGATCAGATTGGAGAGAGTAAACGATTGCTTAGTATCCAGTTCTGAATAAGACCGTTTATATCAACAACCTCGACTACAGCTCAGGTCACAGTGAGGAAGAGCAGTGGGCAGAATGAACGACCTGAAGGATTGGGAAGAGTGCTGCACACATCATGCTGCCTTCTGACAGGACATGGCCAGTACACTCACAAGCTCACTGCAGCTATGGCCATCCGCAGATAGATCCAGTCAATACTCCAGCATGGCTGGGAGAGGCCCATGAGGCTCCACCCACAGCTGAAGAGCTATTGGCAACTGATGGCTGCTCGGTGTGTGTGGGTGTGGCCACTGGAGGTTGCCCATACCCCAGTGGATGGTCCACACCTAGGAACTGGTTTCAGGGGGTCACAGAAAACAAAAAAGAGGACATGAAGGTAGTGGAGGGAGAGGGAGTGGGGCTTTGGCTCTACATATATGAAGTTAAGTAAAAGATAAAAAAAAAATCTTAAAAAAAAAAGACTGTATTAATTTGCAATGCAGGTCTGAAAATACTATCCCTTTGACCTGATGATATAAATAAACCCTGCTGAGATGACAGGAGAGGCTCTTTAACTCTCATCTTTTCATTTTCATAAAGTTTAGTTTCTAACTCACTAATTTTCATCTCAAGTAATATCCATTCTCAGTTCGTTATCTCTGGATTCTTAACAGGAGCTATTATGCTTGCTATTACCTAGGTTTTTTCCCCTTTCTTTCTTTCTTTCTTTTTTTTTTTTTTGGTAGAAGCAGCCTATTCTTGTTCTGTCACTGCCATATCCCTTGGAATCTCACTGAAGATGAGAAACGGAGAAGTTAAATGTTTCAGACCTTACATAATCTTCCACCTGCTCCCATCTCCATGGAGCACAATGGAGCTCTCAGTTTACTGGTTTTCTGAGTGAACAGAACTTTGCCGAGAGTGTGATGTGCACAGAATAATTCAGTCTCTACTTTGATCTAATTTTCTTTTAAAGTCTGAGTTCCAGCTCTGCTGTGTAAAACCCATTTCTGCCCTTTGGACTTATCTGTCTAGCTCCTATCTCTATGAGTCCTCACACCATGCTCTCAGGGGCTCTACATCTTTGGGGTCTCTTGTACGCACACTACGCAATGCATCTACTGGGGAGTCACTTGAGGTGGCATAGGAGGGGCACTGAAATCTTTATAGCAAGTGGTGTTTCTTAAAATATATTTAATATAACCTGGTTAGATGAATGGAAATGAAAACATTGTTTAGAATTATACAAGGGCTAGGGCATGGCTTAGCAGGGCAGCATGTGTCCAGCATGCAGGGCCCCAGGTTCCATCTCCAGCCTCGCAAAACAAACACTTCCTCCCAATTACCCCCCCCCCCCCCCAAGGAAGAAGTGCGCAGATCTGGAGCCAACACAAGTCCCACGGTCTCGTAAAAATGCTAATTTTAGGAAGAAAGCAGTAGAACTTGAAGTCAACCAGCAAGCATCTTTCTGTTAGCCTTTCTTTTCATAGACTTCAAACTTATACTTGATGCCTTTTTCCTCCTGGACTTCAGAAAGGACCCCTGGGTATCTGGAAAAGAAGAAGATTCACGACTTAATTCTACACCCACTGAAGACACAGCATGGCTTCCCTGACTTCTCACCCAAGGGCACAAACATTGTGTGAAGTGAGAGAGGCTTTTTTTTTTTTTTAAACTTCAAAGTGGCGGCCACTCCTAAGGTGAGTGAGTATCTGCAGCCACACAACACACGGCGGCAGAAGAGAAGCAGCCAACCATGGGAAGCTGGAAAATGTGAGTCCCATAGCTTCTCCTTTATCTCTGATTCATATTTTTTTCCTCAAAAATGAACCCCAGTTTCTGTTTCTTTTATCTTTCTACTCTACCAATGAGCTACTAGGCAATTTCTTAGGAACTTTTGCAAATTATAGCTAAAATCACATCTCTAAGAAAAGAAAAGAAAAGAAAATTTTCTGTAGCTTCTTAAAAGTGAAGATGACGGGCAGTGGTGGTATGCAAGCCTTTAGTCCTAGCACTGGGGAGGAAGAGGCAGGCAGAGCTCTAAGATCGGGGCCAGCCTGGTCTACAGCGTGACTTCCAGAACAGGCAGGGATACAGACAGGAACACTGTCACAACCCCACCTCCCAAACAAAACAAAACAAAATAAAACAAAACAACAAATAAAAATTCCAAAAAGTCAAAACCTGAAGTTGTATGCCCAGCACCTGAGAGGTTCTTGTTCTCTGCTGACTGGGACACTAGCTGGTTCGACTAACCTCACAACATGAGGCAAATTGACCACTTAATAGAGCCATGGTGCACTTGATTTCTGCATCATCTGACTCTCACTTAGGTCTCTACTCAGGACCCTCTGGACTCAGTCTCCCAGTGAGCAACCCCACACCCCTCCAATTGCCCCTCACTATTGTGCAGGCTGCATCCCGGTCTACAGCAGAGGGGGCCAAGAGCCGCTGTTTTCATCTTCGGTTCTCCTGTGCACACATAGCTCTGCTTGGCTGGCAGTCAAGACTTCTTCATGGAGTAGCGTGATGTCCGACACAGTAAGTGTCAGATGCTCCCTTTTAGCCTTAGGTATTACTCCAAACTGCTGGCAAACATGCTACAGAAAACTTTAAAATGTCTGTGATACATCACCCACTGATGAGGAACAACAGACATCAGTTATAATATGGAAAACTTCAGGTCAACAGAAGAAGCTCCCCTAGTCACCAACCATTTTCTAGCCCATTGCTGTTCACTGTTTGTAGTACTCCTGCCTTTTAAAACTGATTTTACTAGGCCAATTTTCAATTATGGTTTCAGTTTCTTTGGAAAGAATTCAGAAAAAGTCACATTTGTGTGTGTGTGTGTGTGTGTGTGTGTGTGTGTGTGTGTGTGTGTGTAAAATTCAGCGCTGCCAAAACTGTCAGTTACGAAGAAAAAAGCAGAGCAATAAGGGGTACTTTCTAAAGCCAAGAATAATAAAATCTTATAAGCGGCCTGCCAAATATACTTAGTATATTTAGTAATTTTGCTGCGAAACTAAAACTGAACTCTCCTTAAGTTTAGTTTCTTTTCTTCTAATATCTTTTTATCCTTTTAATAATGGTTATAATTACAATTCTAAACTTTTTGTTTTGAGATAGTATCTTACTCTGCATTTCAGGTTGGCTTTGAACTTGCCAGCTCCTGAATGCTGAGATTATAGTTGTGAACCACTGTCCCAGCTTAATGTCAAACAAACTCTTCCTGGGAACTATACTTGGGTGGCTTGTGTGTGCGCGCACATGGGTGAGTGTGGTCTATGCACACGTTCCTGTGGGCACACATGAGCATACACATATGCCTGTGTGGGCCAGAGATGTTTTCCCAACTCCTTATTTGCCAACCATTCGCCCCGCAGGTTCTTTTTAACAGCTGAGCTGTCTTCCCAGCCCAGGACTTGGCCTCTGGAGTTGAAGGCTCACAGGAATTGGTGGACTACTTATTGTTAGGTCCCACCCACACGTGCTCCTATTTAGAATTTTCAAGCATTAGAGTCAATAAACAGCAGCTCTGAAATAATAAAGGATTGCAGCAATGGAGGGATTTGGTAGATGCTCTTGGAGGCCAGCAGAATTTCTGAAACAGTTCTTAAGCAAACAAACTCGAACGCTAATAAAATGGGTATTACAGCAGCAGCACAGGCTCCAGTGGAGATTTTGGGTAAGTACGCCAGCATCCCAGAAAGTCAAGAGATAGAGGGACTAGAAGAGAAGACATCAGTGAACCTAACATCTACTCCATGGTGTTCACTGATGAGGGGTACGGGTCCCAGCTCTGGAGCCAACTACCCACTCTGCTGTGGTATTGAAGGAGTTTGTATTCCAAAGCATCATGACTTAAGAGACCAAATGATGTGGGAGGTGGTGGTGGTGGGTCTCTATGTGGGACCTCGGTTAATGGGCAGTGCGCCTTCAGAAGGGAATAGGAGACCCCAGTCTCCCTCTGGCATCCTGATTCCAAGTACGATTGCCCCCTCCAGCAGTGCTGTCACTGTGGGACATCTGCTATGGGGTCTCCACCAGCAGCAATGCTAAAGCTTGTAGCCTTTGAGGCTTCATGACTCCGAGCTAAATACATCTCTCTTTTCTAAACTTGGCTTGCCCCAGGCATTCAATGTTTTTCAGTGATGAAAAACATGGACGAGCATAGTTTCTAAAGGCCCCTCTTTTGTCTTGTTTGTTTATTTTGCAACTCATTAAACAGAATACTGCTGATATAAAACTTTTGGGCCTGCTGGTTTGGTTGATGCCTCATGAAATTTGAGGCAGAAAAATTTCTTCCAAGCAAGATCAATGAGAACAGGCCTGCATGGGATGGGCTGGCATTGTGTTGCTGAAAGACCAACTGCATAGGCAAAGACCCCAGGAAAAGAAGGCGTGGTAACGCCACCGTTGTGTTCATGTGAACTTCTGCTCTCAGGTCTCTGACCATTTGCTGCTTCATCCACTTTCTAATTCATTCTCCACTCACAGTTCTTGCTTTTATCTTTATTTCATTATAGAAGAGGTAAAAAGCAAGCAAACAAACAAACAAAAACACTAAAAAAAAATCAAACCGAAAACTAGTAGTATGGTGTTAATGAAAAATACTGTGTTTGAATGGAAACCTATTTAAACACAGGAGTAATATACTCAGGTAATGGAGACAATGGGGATCAAAATGAGTGGTAAAGAGCTTGTCATTCAAGTAGGAAGGCCTGAGACCCTACATAAAAATATCAGATGCGGTGGCAAAGGTATATTTCCAATGCTGTGAAGGCAGAGACAGGAGAGGCTCGGGGTTTGCTGGTCAGCCAGCAACTGAATAAATTCCAGGCAAGGAGAAAGCAGTCTCAAAGAGGATGTGCTGCTGAGGGCGGCACCTGGGGATGTCCTCTGGCCTCTGTGTATATCACATACATGAATACACAGGCACACACAACCTCCCCTACACAGGCACACACATGCACAAACACATACACAAATACACACCCTCCACACACATGTGTAAACACAAGGCCCAGGGATGATTGTGGAAGAGGGGTTGGAAAGAATGTCAGAGACAGTGGAGAGCTGCACAGCGGCTGCGCGTATGGACACAACAGGGCTGTTGCGCACATGGGCGCACGACAGTTTGACCACATGCATCTCTACAAGATCAAGCCAGACAAAGTCTAAGCATGGGTGAGAGAGGAAGTCAAGGCGCCCCATCCCTAGCTTAGGAGACTTATTGACAACTAATGGCTGCTTAGGAAGGAAGAGTCATTTTCTCAATGGATGTGGCCTCTGGTGAGAGGCGGCCCATGCTCCAGTAGTGACTCCACAGTCATGTACATAAAGGCATACTGGCTGCATTATATGGACTCGGTGTGTTAAAAAAAAAAAGACAAAACAAAAAAACAAAACAAAACATGAAATTGTGAGGGAATAGTGGTTGGGGGGGGATAGGAGAGGAATTAGAAGGGATGAAATGGTGTGTGGATTTGATCATTTACATTTTAAAAACATAAATAAAAATTTAGATACACACATGTAAACTTAAGATGGGAGAACAAAGGGGAGTGGAGAAAGATTAAAGCTTATTTTTGGGCATTAAAGAGAAATGAGAAGTTCCCCAGAGTACAGAGGCTCAGAAACAAAGGCCCAGAACTGAGCAATGCTCCTACCTTACAGACAGAGTGTCCTCACTAGGCTGGCTAGTTTGGGAGGGAGGAATCTTAATTGAGAAAATGTCCCCATCAGATTGGCCTGTAGACAAGCCTGTGTGACATCTGATGGGGTGGACCCAGTTATTGTGGGAGGTAAGACTTATGGGCAGGAGGCCCCAGGCATTACAAGAAAGCAGGCAGATAAGTCACAAGGATCAAGCCAGTAGGTAACATCAGTTCCTGCCTCCAGGTCCTTCCCTGACTTCTTTCCATAATGGACTGTTACCTAGAAGTATAAAATGAAGCCCTTTCTTCCCCAGGTTGCTTTTGGCCATTATGTTTACCGCAGGAGTAGAAACCCTAACTAAGACACTTACTGTCCAGAGATTTCCTTTTCTTGCGTCTTAAAGGGAGACAGTTAAGGTTTCCCATCAGGGCAGCGGGTCTCAACCTGTGTATCACAGCCCTTTTGGTGGTAGAACAACCCTTTCACAGGGGTTGCCTAAAACCATCTGCATATCAGATATTTACATTACATCTTATAACAGTAGCAGAATTACAGTTGTAAAGTAGCACTGAAAATAATTTTATGGTTGGGGGTCACCACAGCATGAGGACCGGAATGTAGGGTCGCAACATCAGGAAGGGAGGACCACTTCCTTCGGGAATCCCCTCTCCTCCATGTAAGGAGGCTGTTGTGACGTTAACACAGGTCAGCTGCTGTGACAGAACAAACATTTTGTTCCTGTGAGTGTCACTTAGAACATCCATGTCACAGCAATGGCCTTGTCCTGTCTCAGGCCACTCACCACCAACTCCTGTGATGGCAATACAGCACACGCTCTCCAGTGCCAGCACAAGAGACGGCACTTGCTAACTCACTCAGCAAGTCAACACATCTGATTCCAAGACCAGCTGAGCAAATGCTAAAGAAAAGCAGGCACCAAATGTCTCTTAGATACAAATGCAAAAACCTATAAGGAAAAGAATTCACCTCAGAAACACAAAATTCGCTTACTACAAAAACCACTCATGCAATCACTGTATTAATAGCGTCAAATCCAACTGTCCTTCAACACCAAATCACTGAATGAACTAGAGATCGAAGGGACACTTTCCCACTAGGATCACGAACAAGACACGTAAGATGTTTGCTCGGATTTCCTCTTCACTCTGCTGGAGGGTCTGGACCAGATACTCAGGCAAGAGAAAGAAGTAATGGACACTGACTAAATAGTGGAAGTAAAACTGCAGACGACAGTAAACACAGGTCAGCTCTTACCTTCATCTTTATTTCATGGTACTAGGGCTAAGAATGTACGAACAAATATAGCTGCTGCAGTTTTAAAGCTTCGGGTACCAGACGAACGTTACACAACTATCCACAAATATATACAACTGTTAAGCTCTGTGAAGTTGAAGGACATGGATCAATAAATGGTGACTTGTAGTTTTAGACCCTAGCAGTAAACAGTCTAAAAACAAAACAACAGCAACAGATGGAATAACATACTCGAAGCGGTGCAAGGCACTGGACGCAGTAAAGCATACTGGGAGAGAGTAAAGATCCTACCTAAGTGAAAAGCTCCAACACGCTCAAGGTTTAGGACGCCATGTTGTTCAGAGCGTCCAGTTCTCTTCAGAGTGCTCTATGGATACAATACCTATGAAACCCCAGTTTGCTTTCTATCAGAAACTGGCATTCTGATCATAAAGTTCCTATGGAAACCCAAGGGTCCCAGAACGGCAAGAAGCAATCTTGAAACAGAACGAAGCTGAAAGGTCTATGTTTCCTGATTACAAGTTAAAATTAATGACAATTCCATGTAAATAAGCCAAGTCAGGTAGGCATAATTCTTACTCCTGAGAAATAGAAGCAGGTGGTCATCCTGGGCTAGTTAGTATGTTCCAGGCCAGCCTGGGCTACATGAAACCCAGTCAAACCAAAATAAGACAATGTAATAGCAGCATAATGGTACACACTGACCAAAGGGACAGATGGGAGTCCAGACAAACACCTTCCCACTTGTAGTCAGCTGAGACTGTGATGACATGCACGAATAAACGTGAGCAGAGTCACTCAGTCTCAACAGGTGAACGTCATGATGCGTGCCTTTGTCAGCAAAGGTCTTCTTTTGATTTTTTTTAAAAGTCAGAGAGTCCACAGCAACATTTATTTTAAATTGTCAAGGTTCCTAAAGGGTCAGCGCCATGGAAAAATTCTGATTAAAAACAGTAAGCATTAAAATGATATTTGGATGAGGCTGATCATACAGCAGTCTGTTATCGCTAGCAGCAAAAAAGAAAAGAAAAGGAATAAGAAGAGACAGCTGAGACCTATACTCACATAACATAGACCTACATTCACATAACCTGGGAATTCACAATTTAAGTAGAAAATAAATGGTGTGATTTTCACATAAGCATTTATAAAATGACCAGCCATGGCTTTCTTTTAAAATTTAGGAACCTATGCAAAGTCTGGACTTAAGCAGCTGATGGTTTGCGATTTTCTGTTTACTTTAGAATTAAGAGCCAAAGAAAATCACTAAATTTAGAATTTATGAGATCCAAGACTGTCATTCTACAGACTATCAAGACTATTATTCTAAAGTGTGGCCATCCATTTATCTAGACTAAGTTGTTAATGTTTCTTTAGGGGACGTGTAAAAAACAAATTCACACTCAGGATAATTACTAGACACAATTGAGACTATCTAGAAAAATGTGTTAAGAACTGGTCTAAAAGTGGTAATATAATTAATAATTAATTTTTTCTTTTACTTTCTATAGCTAATAGTTTAAAGTGCTTTTAAATGAAATCAAAATGTTCCCAGGTTTCCTGCTGGAACCACAAGATAGCTTTTTTGTTGCATCTTCACAACTGTGGCCACCTTAACCTATGATCTCTCATCTTTCACCCACACCTAGGCTCTTTCGTGTTCCTCTCCAGGGCATTGGCCGTAGAGCTGGGACAATGTCCCTGGCCACCTCCTGCATCACAGAACAGGCCAGCTTCCTCCTGGGCTCAGGCTCTGTACTCTCAGGCTCCTGGACCACTCTTCCTGCTGCTGTGTGGCTGTTTTTAGATCTCGATCTCACAGTAGAGGCCTCTCTTCAGAGTGGACCCCACACACTGCAGTATCCACCAGACCCCACTGTTTCACGCTTGTCCTAAGACAGGCCTCCCTCCCCTAGAATGACCTAGTGCCAACTGTGCTGGATGCCACTAGAATCATCAAAGCCTGCACATTTCCAAGTCTATTAAAGTCTATTTCTAAAAGCTCCTATAACATATCTTCCTAGGGATACAAACAAACTTCTCTTCCAGATAGGGCACTGGCAACACACCAAAGAAACGACTGTAAGTCTAGCTCTGTGGCTTACAGGAGTATGGGTGACCAACTAACAGGCAGCTATGAGAAGCCCACACTAGTAGGTGACAGCACACAAAGGCTGCACCCCTGCAGGTGGCTCAGCTGATCACTCTCCTCTCCCCACAAACTGTCATCACCCAGGTAACCTTGTGGGAGGGCCTTGTCACTCCTAAGCTTGAGAAGCTTCCTGTGCCTTGTGAACTGAATTTACTTCTGGGTCTAAAATCCTTTCTCCTTCCTCCAGGAGGGTGTGCTTCAGTTCAAAAGAAGCAGTTATATAACTCCAGCTGAAGAAAGCTTTCTTAAAGACAAGAAAATTGGCAAGCATTGTAGCTCATCTGCGTAGTTTATGTTAAACCCGAGTATAAAACTAAACAAACATACATCATGTGAAGAGAGGCACTACATTCTTACGCCACAGAGCATGGAGAAATGCAGCTGGCACTCAACTAGACGTTGCTTTCCTATTGGCCAGCATTCAGTGCTGGAAGGTGATACACATGTTGCCTGAAAGGAACTCTGAGCTACAGTAGTGACCTGCCTGCAAGATATGCCCACTGGTTCACTATCAATAGTGGCGTGATATCATGGGAGTAATCACGCTTTCTTTCCTTCTCTTTCTGGATTTAAGACTGACTCCATGAGATGGAACCCATACCTGACACTGCCAACAAGGCCAAGAACCTACGGGGAAAACCTACAACGATTATTCTGCTAAGTCAACATAGCAATAAAATTACTCTGAACATATTGACTATACCCATTAGATTATACTCATAGATGCTCAACTCTCAACAGGGAGGTTTCTTCTTGCAGTAGACACCCACCACTGGTCAACATGTAGAGACAAGCGACTTTGGAATACTGATCCCTAAATGCGATGTCTTCTATGTCGCATACAGTCCTTCCCTCAAAGCTCAGTGATCTACATAGGACAAGAGCAGAAAGGCTGTGGGAGTCAGAGGTGGTGGTGACTTCAGGAAATTAGGGCAGACGCACACATGGGCTCACAGTGGCTGTGGCAGCATGCACAGACCCGTACAAGCTCAAGCCTGGCAGATCCCAGCATGAGGGGCAGGGAGTGGGTGCACAGCACACCCTTAACCAAGGAGCTATTAGAACGGACACCCACTGGAGAGGGAAAGTTACTTTCTACAATACAGTGGCAGTGTTTATCAGCTATACTCCAGCACAGGCCCCATGTTCAGGAGTAGTCAGCCAGCCAGACTGAACTCCATGATCTTTTTGTTCTTAAAGAGAGAGGGAACATGACCTGGAAGAAGGTGAGCAAGGGTAATGAATACAATCCAAACACAGTGTTAAGAATCTTCAAAGAATAAATAAAAATATTATTTAAAAAAGTATCTTTCTATATAGCACACTGCTACTTCAAATCAAATATGAAAAAAGTTACTCTTCTCTGTAATCCTTTTTCCTTCTTTGATTAGTCTTCATTTAATAGTCATGGGTTCTGCTGTGACGTGTTAATTTTAATCCACGTATGTCATTGTATTTTTCCCTTACTTGCTTCCCCTTTTTCTGTAACTAGTCCCTAAAGTGTTTCTGACTAATTAATAATTTTAGTACTTACTCTGGGAGAAGCTTATATTTCCCCAAATCGATTTCTGGGAAGAATGTGTCACTTTCAAATTCTTGCATGATCCTTGTTATGAAGAGTCTGAGATGGCCTGGCTGATCCATGGCTTCCTTTGAAACAAAACAGAAGGTATCGCTCTCCTTAACCGCTGTTGACAGACAAAGAAACTAGAAGATTCTTATTTGGATTAAGTTTGTACTAGGCATTAAATCCATGCTTACAGTTTCTCAGCAATATACATAAACTATTTTGAAGAAAGATTTGTTCATATATGTTATACCTCTTTGCGTGGGTTTGTGTGGGAACAGGTACCCATGGGAGCCAGCTGAACTAGAGTCACAGGTGGGTGTGAGCCACCTGCTGTGGCTGCTGCAAACTGATCTCCAGTCCCACTGAGTCATTCTCCAGCTTCCTCAGACATACTATATACCACACACACACACACACACACACACACACACACACACACACACACACGTATATATCCTCTATTCTAAAGCTTCTGTTACCTTGAGAATGGCAACTAGTTATATTATCACATATTACATTCTGGTCTTCATTTCTTCATTTAAATTTTTTTTTTTTTTTTAAATTTAAGCATTCAGTTAGGCTGTTTTCCTTCGGTTGCTCTTTTAAGGGTTCACCCCTTAATACCTAGTTGCTTTTCCCAAGAGAAGTCTGCTTCTGTATCCTTGAATAAGAAAGCACTTTTGTGAAGTCTTCACTGTTAAAAACACCATAGGAACTCTCAGGACACCATTTCTTTAAAAGTATTCATTTGCTCATTTACTTGTGTGTCTGTGTGGATAAATGTGCCTGTGTGTGCATCGGTCAGAAGAGGGTATCGAATCAGTCAAAGCTGGAACTGAGGAGAGTTACAGGATTCCCTGCTTGTTATGTGGGTGCTGGAATCTGAATTCTGGTCCTTACGATTGTGTAGCAAGAGCTTTTAACTGCTGAGCTATGGCTCCCATCCATCAGCACACCCTATTACTCTGGCATTACCTGAAAAGGCCCCCTTTCTCTGTAAGTAGTGTTTCTTCTTGTCTCTTGTTGCTAATAATGGCACTCAGTCTGTTTTGGTTAATGACTTGCCAACCAATGTCTATAATGTTATTATTAATGTTTTTTTTACTATAATTAATGTTAATTTTATAATTAACATTAGTTATATAATTTATAATTAGCAAAGTATAATGACACTGTGTATATCAACCATACTCCAGGGCAGGCCCCATGTTCACGAGTTGCGTTGAAAGAAAGAGCTTATATTTTTAATGGAAAGGATGATGCAGACGTGCAGATCCAAGAAAGCATTATTAACTACTGATCTTCAAACACATAGAGGAAGAAAAAGAATACTCACGTATATAAGATTTCAAGTTGTTATTCTTAACTTCTAATGCTGTACTATACTATCGTGCTGTACTAGCATAGAACACTTTTTCCTTTCCGTATTTCAGCTTATGTGACATCATTTATTATTGCTGCTGCAACCAAAGACATCTCTGCTGGTTCCCACTGTGCCCAAACCAGAAAAGCCAGTGCAGACTAACCACAGCTGCATCTAAAGGTCTTCCTCGAAGCAGGGTGAGCTTTCAGGAAGGAGCCATCTGGTGAATAGCTCAGGCTTGGAAGGGCACAGGCTCCTGACTCTGACAGCAAAAGCAGCCACGGACAGTGCAGAAATGAGCACAGTTCTGCTCCACTTCGCCAGCCGGCACGGGAGGACAGGCCAAAGGCACAGCATGTGAGATGGTTACCTGCAGCCCTCTACTCCCTTAATGTAGACCTAATGAGATAAGTGCTTTTAGCACTTAGTGCTCACAGAACATATTTTAATCGGAGACAACATTACAGAAACAGTGAGACAAGGAGTAGTCATAATCAGCTTAGGAATCTGCAATCCTCCTTCCTTCTCAAATCATCTCTCTCTCCCTATCCTCCTCTGTGAGTGCGTATTAACACATGTCCCAGAGAGGATTGATTTTTCTCCCATATAAATGGTAATCTTTCCAAAGAATATCCAAACAAACAAACAAACAAGCCGGAAGTCATTTGGTACCAAATGACACCAGGAAAAGAACATTTTCTGCTTTGTACACTATTTTCCACTGTGATACGAAACATGCCGTCCTCCCCTGCCCTCACACTGCAGGGAGGTGGCTGAGGAAAAGCTTTCCGTCTGATTTGCCTGTGCTGACCGAGAGCCCATGCTCTTCTCAGTACAATATTTATCTCGGAATCAAAGGCACAGCAGCCCACCCAGGGCACATCTGGGGAGCAGAGTATAAGAAAGATGCTCAACAAAGCAGACTGGTCTGTAAACTGGAAACAACCAGTATTTTGAATGGAAACTGACTAGCATGTGGGAAGACTTTGCCAAAGAACACAGTAAGAATACGATCTAGGGATCTGCTGAGCTGCACGGTGACTAACTGTGCTCTTAAAATTGCTGGCTAACTGTGTTCTTAAAATTGCTGGGAGTTGATTTTAAGTGTTCTCATCACTGAGAATAAGCAAGGTGATGTATCTCAATGTATCCGCTCTGTGAATGCTTGTTTCAGATCATAGGATTATTGGCCAATATAAAAACAGATTTAAAAATAAGGCACTGAAGTTGATGGGAGGTGGTGAGTTGGGGTAGGGGTGTTTGGTAAGAGGAAGAGGAAGTGGGGGGTAAACAGGACGAAAGCACATGAAATATGTCACAACTTCATAATGAAATACATGATTTTATATATAAGACATACAAATAAAAAGAGACTAGACTGGTATGAGATATACATTCTACACTTAGATTTGTATTTATCGCCATGTCAAATAGTTGACTTTGACAATTTGTCTAGCTTAGAGCTGGGATAGTGTGCTGCTTCCTACGGTCATGGCTAGAAGCAGGGAAGGACATTTCTTTCTACTTAGAAATAACTCTACTTACCTTGTAAACGGAACTGCCTCCAACTATCCAAACCATGTCTACTTTATTTGCTAACTCTGGTTGTTCAATAAGTTTTAGGGCATCATCCAGACTTTTGGCAAGAAAATGAGCTCCTTGTGGCGGTTCCCTGAGATTAAAAAAAAAAAAATTATGATTACTGTAAAATCCTGTCTACACTAGTCAAATAATTTGACTTGGAAGCAGCCAGTACAAAACAAATTATGAAACCAGTTGTTTTAACATAAAGTACTTAGAATGCATGGCCATCTGCAGCATCCACTCTATTTTTCTACCCAAACGGTACACAAAGCCATATGTGACATCTCGTTGTGGAAAACAACCTTTCTGGAGGCTTAATAGGGTTGAGTTATGTAGGTTAAGTCTTTGTCAACACTAAGCTAATGTGCACTCAAGACTTGTGCATCTCATTGTATTAATGTTTACCATAGCAACAAGCTAGAGCAACAAGGAATTCTAGCCAATGATACATGGGAAGCATTTTGAGAAATAGACTCATTCTGCCCTTTAGTCTGAAATGTGGAAGCAGCACTGACTGGATGGATGATGACGGTGACAAAACCAACATAGTAAAGATTTAGTGGCAGGACCCAGGGTGGGTGAATCCGGGGGTGGGTGAACCCAGGGGTGGGTGAATCTGGGGGTGGGTATGCAGTTTTTATGCACAGTTTGCTTTTTCTTTTTTTTTTTTTCTTTTTTTTTTTTTTTTTGTTCAGGACAGGGTCTCTCTGTGTAACAGCCCTGGCTGTCCTGGAACTAGCTCCTGTAGACCAGGCTGGCCTTGAACTCATGGAGATCTGTCTGCCTCTGCTGGGATTAAACGCATGCACCACCACTGCCCGGCTTAATGTACAGTTCTTTCTGTCAGTCTGAAAACTGTCGTGATTAAATATTAGACAGAGACTATTCAAATGATAGAAGAATTTGAAGGAGAGTTCAGATTGTTAATGTATATGGGGAAACAACTTGCATATTATGAACAATACAGAAAGGACAGAAAGCGTTTGAGGATGAGCTTGCGACTAGTTACAGAATTAATACTCAGAAAGAAAAGTTAGATAAATTCACTACTTATGCTGATTAGCTAAAATTTTGGGATTCTATTATTTTGATGGTGAGAGGAGTTGCAATTCCCTTTATAAATGAGAAAATTTATACATAGTGATTAGAAACAGAACAAAAATTATTAATTCAATGTCAAGTTCTTAGCTGGTGCTTTAAAAGAACTACTTACATAATTGTCTTTGAACTTGTAGTTGTAACAATGATTAATCAAGAACTAATCGGGACTATTCATCTTCCTAGTAGCGTTTTCCTTCTCTTCCTCTCTTATTCTTTTCACTCTTTGTCACAGGTAAGGGGATTAGGATAGAGCAAAGAATACATTTGGACTTAAGCTGGGAGAAAAAACCCAACCAACCAACCAAAAAAATGGAGGCCAAGGTGAGTTAAATGAGCTGAGTTACCACCAAAGATCTGAGGGTAATTTCAGGAACAAGGCAGGATACGACAGTGTTGAAGGACAGAATAACAACTAGAAGAATTATAGATTCAGTCATGGAAGAAGATGATCCAGGTAGTAAATGGTCTGTGACTGAACTAACAGCCCAGTGACCTGACAGAATGCTGAAGCTGGGAAGGTTATAGAGAGGAAATAGAACTGGAGACAGCGATGAAGGGGCTGATGTGCACAGTCTGAGAGCAGGGACTCAAAAGCTGAGAGCCATATGGTTTCCAGGGTTACAGGAATGCTTGGTGTACTTGGCATGCCTAAGGCCCCGGGTCCCCAGTACACACAAGAGACCAATAAGAAATCCCTAGCAAAGCCCTGAACTCAAGAGTAAAGGGGCCACTGCTTCAGAGGAACTTCTTTCTCTATTGCTTTTCCCTGAACCTTCTCTAGGGTCCAGAGTGTAAGTTACAGTCACTCACTGCTGAACAGTTTTTATCCTCCCAATAAATTAGAAAAGGGGTCCATGTAGAAAGAAATGGAATGCCTTCTAGTAACCTCTGCATACTCGATTAGCTAATTTATCCTGTCTCAAGACTGAACTAACTCAGATCCTCTACTTTCAAAACAACCCCTCCACGACTGCTCCAAAGCAGAGTAGCTCTGATGTCTTCCTCATTCCTTGTGTTTCTCCAGCAGCTTTCAAGTAACCGTCCATGGACACTCTTATACACAGGGAGGTAGGTGACCCATCCGCGTTATCACAGTCCATTCTTCATTTAGAAAGGGCTCCTTTCTTCCTTTGGGTCACTCCAGCTCTTTATTTCAGGACAATTTCTTGGTTATCACATGGACTGAGAAACTCTCAAGGCAAGTTTTCAGATAAAATGAACCTCGATTAATTGTAATTAAATGATAATCGTGTCATAGATTGGAAGACACCAAAGAGAAACAATACATGTGTGATACTGAATTAGATCCTAGAAGAATAAAAAAACCAGCAATGGAAGAACTGGTGAAATTTGAATACACTCTCTAGTTTACTTAAAAACAAAAACAAACAAAAGCCTCAAAAACGGAACAAAACAAAAACCCCAAATAAATGATTGGTGTGGACTTCAAAGAAAAGGGGCAATAATATGAATTCTGTCAAGAACTGTGTGGACATGGCTGGTATTGTTTCTAGTTGGAAGAGTCTTAAATTACCTCAGAGAATTCAGAGGATTAAGAGAAACAATGTGTAAGCAGATGCTCCATTTAGAAACAACATTTAAGTACATACTCCATTAAGAGACAATGTAGTCCATTTAGCCACCCATGTAGCTACTGGACAGCAACTTAGTTTCTAATACACAAAGCCGGGTAAATAGACAGTAATTTTACATTTCTAAAATACAAAGTAGAATCAGTAGGGTGACCCTGTGTTCAGGCCCTACAGACCACTAATTCTCTGAAGATTTCTCAACGTCTAGGCTGTCAGCAGAGATTTACTTCTACCCAAAGGGGTGAGAAGGTAACCAGATACACGTCTCAGCAGTGGTCAAAAAGAATGGCAGCAGAATACCAGGACTTGCAGGATCTGCAAGGATCTGCGACCAGGCATGCTCCATAATTTCTGGTGGGGCAATGATGGTGCTGGGCTCCTTAGCTGGGTGTCAGCAGATGTAAAAACATGCCCAAGCCCTGGAAATTATATACTTTATTAAAAATTGTTGTAGGCTACAGTGAAGTTATTCAACACATGAAAACTCAGAGAAAGTTGAGGGTAGGAAAACAGTAACTTGAGGTGAGGTTCAAAATGAGGACAATAAGGTAGTCTCTGATCACCTGGAGTAAAGGAGAGGGTACAAGTCGATTTAGGTAGGAGAGATTTATTTATGTGTTAGGATAAAAATAAGGTGATTTGCTAAGGTAAAAAAAAAATAAGACTATGAGTTTATTCACTGTGATCCCAATAATAATAAAAAGTAAGCAATTTATGTACTATAAAGAGAAATCAAATACTATTCATGTTCATTTTGAGGGTGGTAGGTCTCAAACTCAAGGCCTTACACTGTGCTCCTCCCCCGGCTCCTAATATCAACATTTTCTATAAGTTACAAGGTTCGGGGACAAGGTGGGAGCTGGTATCTGCCGAGTCCTGTGTTGAGTCATTTGTTCTATGACAAAAAACTTGACCAAATCAACTTAAGGCTGGAGCCATTTAGATTTGATGCACTGCCCTGACCACTAGCTCCTGCTGCTTTGGGCCTGAAGGAAGAGCAACCCTGTCAGGAAACATGGCAGGGCCACGAGACTCATTTCATAGAAGACAGGCAACAGATTTCTTTCCAATGCTATGCTCTAAAAGGACTCATTTCCTCTAAAAAGACACCATCTCCTAATATACTTTCAGCTGTGAACTTATCTATCAATCACTGATGAAGTTAGTTTGAGACCTCTTATCCAATCACCCCCAAAAGCCCATGCGCTGGCGGCTAAGTTCTTTATGCAGGATGTTTCTGGGGAACTTAAACTGCAAGCTATGCACAACAGGTACCTTTTGTGAGTCAGGAAATTAACATACATAACTCAACAAATCCTGAAAAACCATCCTAAGAGCTAGGGTTACCTCATCTAGCAGGTAATACATCTCAGGTTCAGCAAGCTTTACTCAAGACCTGCATAAACCCCAAGCCAGAGCAGGGAGGGGATGCCCAGTAAGTCAGTGCTTAATGGGCTGCATGTGTGGGCCAGAGGGAAAGGCCGTAAGCGGAAAATGCCATCACTAGAAAGAATATGTAGAGGAATCATAAGATGTTATTACACCATGAAATTTAGAATAGCTCTTAAGGAGAAAATTTGCAGTGTGTTATATCATGGAAGCAATTGGGATCTCCCATCGATAACCTCAAGGATATAGCATTGATGTGAAATTTTATTTAATTTTTGGCTACCAAAGGCATTCACTTATTCATATATACATCTTTCTGTTGTTATTTTTTGAGATACAGTCTCACCCTAGAGCCCAGCATGATCTTAATCTCAAGAGCTTCAGGACAAAGCCTGACAAGTGATAGGATTACACGTGTGTGCCACTATGTCCCACCCTCCCCCAATAAATTAATGCATTCTCCTATGGCGTACAAACCAGTGGCTTCCGGCGTGCTTAGTGTCATGCAGCCACTACTACTGACTCACACTTGTCATTTGGTTCTATTAAAGTTACAACTTCCTGCCCAGAAAGCGTTATGAAAAGTATGCCCTCTCCAGACCTTAGTGACTTTTGGGGTTACCTTGATGATTCCCATATGGGGTTAGTGGCTAAGATCCCAAGTACCAGTGAAAGCCTGCATAAGCCATGTGCAGTGCCTGTCTTGCGATACAGGACCCATTGTGTTCTGAGTATGCATAAAGTGACAATCAAGAGAAGCCGGAGACTGAAGAAAAAAATGGACCCTAATAAAATCTTTCACTGACTGATATTCCAACTTCTCTAGCCTGCTTAATAATAAAGACTTTGAATTTTTTCAGTCTTCAAAAAAGGTAAATTAAAAAAAAACACTAAATGTTATATATAAATACACAAAAAGCAACACAATCCAATTACATACGCCATAGGGGGGTCATAAAGAAGAAATTGGACCCATCATTTGAGAAGAAATGCTAGCTCAACTGAACATGTCCCCCACTGAGAGTTCTTTATGTTTATTTTAGCTCAAGCTGGCCATAAATAAACTTGAGTAGTATTCAAGAATATGTTATTAAAAAGTCTCTGGGAATGGCAATATAGCCTGTGAATGTGTAATTTTTCAAGGAGAGTGATCATCAGAATATCCTAGCAACCAGGACAAGGAGCAGCATAAAGATGGAGGAAGATGGCAAGAGGCACATCGCATATTCCCCATCACTAGAGGCAACCGATGCAAATGTTTGTGTATTTTCTTCTAGTTTTTAACCTATGTCATTATAAGAGGGGTGTGGGAGAAACCCTACATAAAAGTCTCTTAGCACACAGCTATGGAGAGCATTTTCCCTCCCAGGGCTGCGCTAACTCCCCTTCACTCAGATACTCGTGTTTTGTAGATGGGATGACATCTATGAGCTGACTTTGATTCAAAGCAGTAAGAAACCTTAATAGTGGAACTGAGAAGTTGGGTGGTGCACGCTTTAATCCCTGCACTCGGGAGGCAGAGGCAGGCAGATCTCTGAGTTTGAGGCCAGCCTGGTCTATGGAGTGAGCTCCAGGGTGGCCAGGGCTACACAGAGAAATCTTGTCCCAAAATACCCAATAGTAGAGCTGAGACTTCTCAGAAGCAACCGGAGCACCTCCTGGGAAGTCTTGGCTTGCTCTTCTGACAGTCTGCTCTTTGATGTTTTGTATTCATGTAACTCCGCCCCATAACCATGAAAGCCAATTCCCCACAACTACAGCTTCTATTGCATCTGTTTATCTAGCTGGATCCTGAGTCAAACACACGGGAGTGACATTCTTGATGACTGTTCGAGCAAACAATGCCCCGTGCTCTAAGACGCTGTGTTGTTTTTGGTGACTACTTATTAATGTAAGGAAGAATGGCCAACATCTTGAATCCTAATGTTCCCTTAAATTTTAGTCAACTGCTGACCAAAACAATCTAAACTAAAACAATGCCCTATTAGACTCAGGAAGTTATTTTAGTAAGTTAAGACTAGTAACAACAATAGCAAAGTCATTATCAAGGTCAAACTCCCGGATTTGACTTCATAGTCAATCTTCTCTATCATCTCCAGTCCTTCCTTAATTTAACCGTTTGCCTACATGTCTGTGCACCATGTGCAAGCTTAGTACCCCTGGAGGCCAGAAGGCTTCAGATCACCTCGGATTGGAGTTATAGCCAGTTGTGAACCGCTATGTGGGTGCTAGGAATTGAACACAGGTCCTCTAAAAGAGCAGCCAGTGTTAACCCCTGAGCCATTTCTCCAGTCCCCAACTACCTTAAGTCATGATGAACGAATTATCTATTCAAACATTTGGAGGATAAGAAAATTCTTAACAGAAGTCAACTACAGACATTTTCTTCTCCTGAAGATTTCTAGACCACTTTAATCACTTGAACAGAATTAAGTTGCCACATGGCATAACTGCTCACTCGGTTGAGATATTAAGATATTCAGTTAGGTCTAAGGTGGTAGATTAAGGGTCTAGTCACCTCAGGGTGTTGGGGTAAATACTGATGGCGTCAACTTGTTTGGATAGTGAGTCATTTATTAGGGGTTAGGGTGATAACATGGTAAAGTTTCTGCTGTCCAAGTATGAGGACTGAGTTTGACCCCCAGCACCTGGTAAAAAGAAGCTGTACTTGTAATCCTATCAGTGGATCAGCAGAGACAGAGGGACTCTTGGATCTCGCTGGCCAGTTAGCCTAGCTTACTATGTGAGCCCCAGATCACAGTGAGAGACCCTGTCTCAAGAAAACGAGGTGGAAAGACTCTTAGGAAGGACATGGAAAGACAATGTTCAGCTCTGTATGCATGGCTGCACACATGTGCCCCTGCTCACATGGTTGTGCATGTACAGATGTGCATGTGCATGCATGCACACACAGATGTTCATCAACTTATTTCTATACTACTTCATTCTATTATGTACTGACTTGTGCCCTGGGACATAGATCACAGTTTTCTTGTGGTGACTTCATGTCACTTACTTGAGCTCTCTGCTGAGAACTATATTGATTCTGTCTTTTAAAGGTCGATTCTTCTCAGGAATGGAGAACCAGGTTTTCCGGCCCATAATCACCAGGTTCTGTTTACCTACAAAAACCAAGCAGACAGAATACCTTTGAAAATACACATCTATTTTCAGTGTCATACACAGGCAAGATACGATTGTCATAGTGACATCTAGTGGATATCCTTTAGAAACATGAAAACAAACAGCTTCACCCCAGATTCAGATTTAGTACTCATTAACTAAATACAGGATGACTTTCCTTTTGGTCCACCCAATGTCTATCTTTTACTTAGGTTTCAGTCAACTGCAACCTTGCATCATTCTGATTCCAAGTGCTCAGGCTGACGGGATTTTGTCATCCACTAGATAACCCCATATGCTTTACTTAGTTCAAAAATGGAGACAGGAACAGTTTCTACTCCTGGAAACCTTGAGAAGATTAAAGACTCAGAACTGTGCTCACCATCTAGAAGCAGTGTTCTCTGGCTCATCTGTACCAGATCCCACTACTCAAAGGTCAAAGGTCAGGGACCACTGAGGAAGAGGGGGCAGAAAGAACGGAAGGGCTGGTGGGAGAGGGAGAAAGATGGGGAAGGCTGACTTCTGGATGTGACCCGGCAGATGTCTGCAGGCAGCAACTCACAGCAGCTTTGGTCACCTGTACAAAATTAGGCCAGTCAGAATTCCAGCAAGGTGGAGGGGCTCCTGAGGCCCTGCCCCTATTAGATAGCTATTGGTAGTTGGGGGCTGCTGAGAGAGGAAGACTCAGTCTTAGGTTTATGTCCCAGTCAATGGCCACACACAGGGTTATTAATAACAACTAGAACGTGAACTGGGGAGGGAGAAGGGGGCACAAGGAAGAATGAGAAGGTAAATGAATACGATCGATATACACTGTATCAATGTATGAAACTTTCAAAGAATAAAAACACATTTAAAAAGTCCTGCTAAGAAAACTATACATACAGCTTCCATCTTTTATTTAACTACTTGGAAAAAACCTTGAGTGTCAGACAGCTGGATCAAAGGCACAGTAACAATTAGGATTCTTTTGAGAAAAATGATTTGGGGGCTAGAGAGACAGTTTAGCTGTTAAAAGCACAGTAGAGGACCTGGGTTTGGTTCTCAGCACCCACATCTAGGGGCTTTCAACTGCTTTTAACTCCAGTTTCAGGGAACTCACACCTTCTTCTGGCCGCTGTGGGGACCAGGCACACATATTTTGTACATACACATATACAGACACTCTCAAAACACACACTAGAAAGAAAAACAAATAAGTCTTGAAAACCTTAGTCTTTATTTTGTGTGTATTGTACACCTGTATGCACAGGCCAGGCAGGGAAGCTGGGTGTTTTCACTTTATTTTCTTGAGACGAGATTTCTCACTGAACTCGGAGCCCACAAAGTTAGCTAGAGAGCAAGCCCCAGGGATCTTTCTGTCTGTCTCACCAGTGCTGGTATTACAAACAGGAGCTGCCATGCCCAGTTTTTTTTTTTTTTTTTGAATGCTGGGATTTGAATCCAGATCCTCAGAACTTTACTGGCTGAGTCATTTCCCTAATCCTGATGTCTAGATTCCTGGGCATACACTGTGCTAATGGCACCTGCCCACCTGTCTGCCAGTGACTTCTATGCTACCTGTCCTATGAATATTGTTCAACACCTGCTCTGCTGACTTGCTTCCCCATTCTCTATGCCAGCGCTTCCCAACTTTCCCAATGCTGTGACCCTTTAATACAGTTCCTCATGCTGTGGTGATCCCAAGCCTAAGATTACTTTCATTGTTACTTCACAAATGTAATTTTGTTACTGTCAGGAGTCATGATGTACATATTTGTGCTTTCCAATGGTCTTAGGCCACCCTTGTGAAAGGGTCATTCAACCCTAAAGGGGTTGAAACCCACAGGTTGAGAGCCAGTGTTCTATTCCTCTCCTACTATGATAAACAAACATGTTAGGGAGAAATCACACTGAATGACCTACAAGCAACTGGACACTGCCTTATAATTACACACCACTCCCCTTCTTTTCTTTCAAGTCAGTCCCCCAGACTGTCCCACTGAAGACCACAGCCGCCATCCCACCGTGCCTTCCTGCCTTCAGAAATCCAAAAGAGTATCACACAAATGTTTAATCGTTCTTTAACCTCTTCTCCCGTGCATTCTTCTCCATTTATTCAAGTTTTATGTCTTCCGGCAACAATTCTAAATAACGGCTCTGATCTCTATATTAAACGGCTAAATTTTGCTAATTATTCTGTCCAATTAAATGCTCTTGCTAACAAAATTTCAAATATATGTAAAGAGGATGCTTATTAAACTTTGGGAACAGCACAAAAATTTCTGCCAAGAAACAAAGATGCCATATTCCCACGGGAGACTTCCCGCTTACACGTCTGCAATGGAAATCCTGCTTCAAGCAGGCCCTAAGATCCTCATGACTTAACCCCAAATTACCTTCCACTGAGGAGGTTGTGGTCATTCTTTGGAAGTACTTGAATTCGTTCCTGAAAGTTAGAGAAACACTGCGTTAACCGGAACATTGTCACGTGTGTTCAGACTCCAGCTCAGCAGCGATCCGTGCAAGCCCGGAGGATAGTGCTGCCCAGTGACCGGACTTTGCTCAGGGCCAGAGCGCCTCTGGGCAAAAGTTGCCACAGCAGGGGATCATCGCGGGCACCGGCAGGAGCTGTAGCCGGTGGGCCTACCCGCTCACGACTGTGCCTAAGCAGATCTTCCCGCGCGTCTCCGCCAAGTGCTCGACCCGACTCAGCGAACCGCTACGGCTTTCCGAACCCAGTCCGGCCACAGTACCTGAGCAGAGGCCATGGCAGGTCTCCGTTCTTGCCGATGCCCATATTCTGGGACACGGCGACGATGCAGTTCAGCGTTCGAACCATGACAAGCGGCGATCAGCTCCTAAACAGCCTGCACGCTAGGGTTTCCCTCAAGTTTGGCGCGAAAATAGCGTCCGCTGGGTGCCGCTTTCGACTAGTGCAGCGAAGGCTCCGCCCCCACCAGGTCCCGCCCCGCAGCCTATTTGCGCATCAGAGGTCCCGCCCCCATCAGGCCCCGCCTCCACCAGGCCGGCTCCCCCGCAGGTCGCGGCGTGCACGCGCGCGCAGGCGCGGGGTAGTGGGGTCGCGCGCTCCCGAAGGGCTGGCTCTTCTGCATCCTGGGATGCCCCGCACGAAGTCCGCGTCGGGCAGCGTTTCTGCTGCCCCGGGAAGGCAAGCGGTTCTGAGCCGGTTCTTCCAATCTGCCGGAAGCCTGCGATCCACCGCGTCCTCCACGGAGCCGGCGGAGAAGGTAGACGACGACTCCTCAGCGCCCCCAGCGGAGGCCGCCGGGGCTGGGTTCTGTCCTCAACGGGGCGGGGCCACGTGGTGGGCGGGGTCAGACGGTCAGGGGCGGTGCGGGCGCGTAGGTGTCGCGGCCGGAAGTGGAGGCAGTGTGGAGCCCCTAAAGGTGGGGAGATCTGGGAAGGGGCGGAGCCGGGAAGGAGAGGGTGGTGACGTCTACGGGTCCATGTTTTAGTTGAAAGGCTTTTATTACCCGATTAGTAGTAATCGATTTGAGATCTTGTTGCCTCCTGTCGTTAACCGGAACCTGAGGCGAAAACTTTGGTGGATGCCAAGTCTGGCAGGACCAGGGTACATCTTTTAACCCCCGTCGTCCCTTCTTTCTTTTACGTTTTCCCTATAGTATTGATGATTGAAGAACTTACATATTTTTTCTTGACTGACGAGAACAAAGCTGTCTTTAAGGCTCGTGTTTCAGAATTCAAAAGCATTGCTCTGTATTTCAGATCTCACTCTGCTAGCGTGCAGCTTCCCAGTGTAAAGTGTGATATAAGCATTAGAGTGGATAAAATTCCTGTTCATGACTTATTCTTGGCTACTTCCTGTTGCTTGCAACCATTCAAATAGTTAAAAGCAAAGCAAAATAAGCCCCCAAACCCACCGTGATGTTGCCACAAGTGCAGTCCCAAGGATAGTGGTCCCTGAGGTTCCTTCTTATATTCCCCACACCCGCGGCGGTGGGGGGTGGGGGTGGGAGTGTGGCACCCTTGCTCAGGGTGCCTTAGTCGTGGGACTCGGTCACTTTCCAGACTGAGGATGTAGAAGGTGATTGTACACTGGCTTTTAGCTATATACCGTATTTTAATGTAGGTGCAAAATGGTGTAAGAATCTTAACCCCTTTCATTTAGTTTTCTTCCTTAAACGGATTGCTCTTCCCTCTGCCCCTCTTGAGGATGAGCTATATTTTCATGGCGTCATGAAGATTTTATTTTGCACCCACTATTGACAGAATATTGGGGGAAAGTTTTCAGCTTTTCTTAGATCACCCGCCAACAAATAGTCCTAGGGCATCTGTTAACAGTGGCTGTAAGCTTTGAAACAGAAAATGTTTGTCTGTTATGTCACCTTCTTCCATAATTTTGCATTTTGAAAATACATTTTTTATCTTCTGTGTAACACATGTAACTAGGAAAGGCGAGAACACCACTTAATTTCAGCTGAGGTGAGTGACGAGAGGCTGCACCTGCCGGTGTCTGTCTCTGATGGCAAAAGCAGCTGCCCTAAGCCTCTCCAGAGTAAAGTAGATCCCTCTGGGAAGAGTGGAAGGCGGGGAACTTACTGTCCTTCTGTAGCAAGGTTTAAATGACTTAAACCTTAGGATGGCATTACCACAACATTTCCAACCTTCCCGATACAGGTTACAAGGGGTGACAGCAGGAAGAGGTCACTGGGGAGTGATGGGCCCGTTAAGAGGAAAGCGAAGAAAGTTCCAGAGAAGGAAGAAGAAAATACTGCAGTAGCATCTGGCAACCCTGGTAAGTGTTAGGGAATGAGTCTTCTCGTTGGGGCATTGAGCCTTGCTTTCCCCTGTAGAGAAGGATCTGTTGTGCCTGAGCTGGTGTTTGGGGGGCTAGGACCACAGTGGAACTCCCTTCTCTAATTTGGCTATAGTTCTTCCAGCTTTCTCTTTTGTTCACTTTTGCTGTGATTTTTAAAAGTGTGTGCACTTGTGTGCGTGTGTGTGGAGGTGCGGGGTGTGGAATAAGTGTAGAGGCCTGCGGAGCCATGCGATGTGGAGTCCTCCTGGAGTACCTGATGTGGTTGCTGGGACTTGAACTCAGGTATTCTGATGAAAGAGTATGTGTGCTTCACCACTGAGCCATCTCTCTGGCCCCTTCCGCTGTCCTTTAAATCTTGGTTCTAAAGATGAAACATGTGTTAGCGATGTATTTATTATGTGTGTGTGCGTGCCCGTGACATGGATACAAGAGGTCAGAGGACAATTTCCAGGAGTCATTTCTCTCCTCCCACTATGTGAGTTCTGGCACTGAACTCGGATTGTAAGGCTTATTGGCAAGCAGCCTTACCCAGGGAGCCATTTCACAGTCCCCATCTTGTCACCCATTTCCATAGGCTTTAATGTTACACTTCTAAAACGCTCCACTGGCCAACAGAACGTCTCCGTTTCCTATACCTCTGAGCCCTGGCCATGACCTCCTTGTCTGCTGCGTCTGTCATTTTGACTGCTCCATATTCCTCTTCTCATATCCTGGCAGTATTCCATTATACAGAACTACCTTGTTCCTAGATTCTTCCATGTACAAGTTCCTTTTTTTATACCTGGGCTACAAAACAGAAGGAAAATCTTAACACTCACAAGAAACTTTTATGTACATTTGAGAAAAATGAGGTCAAATGTACACTGATGTAGTGGTATTTTATTTGTGGGCTGTTTGTTTGTTTGTTTGTTTCAAGACAGAGTTTCTCTGTACAACAGCCCTCGCTGTCCTGGAACTAGATCTAGTAGACCAGGCTGGCCTTGAGGTCACAGAGATCTGGCTGCCTCTGCCTCCCAAGTGCTGGGATTAAAGGCGTGCACCACTACTGCTACCTGACTTGGCTTCTGTGTTTTAATAAACCAAGCTTGCCTGAGGATCAGAATGCAGAGCTAAGCTACTAGAGGCCAGGGAGTGGTGACAAACTTCTTTAATCCCAGAACTCAAGGCCACCCTGGGCTACTCGAGAGATTGAATCTGTCTAAGAAGAGAATAGAACTCATACAAAGGTGATTCCAGACTCGGGAGAGGTGGAGACAGGAGTGATATGGCTGTGGGCTGTGTGGAAAGAGGTGTATAAGGCAGGAGGAGAGAAGAACTCACTGCAGTCTGTGGTTCAGTCTGCAGTCATGCTGAAGACGGGATCATCCCTTTGTTTGTCTGAGCCTTGGTAGAGGTAAGAACTCTCCAGTGACTTGGCTGCTTTGCTTTTCTGATCTTCAGCTTGAAATATCCAATATCCCAGTATCTGTCTCTGGGTTCTTATTATTCATGCTACACACTGGAAAAGATATCCCAAAGTATATTTTTAGAATAAGAGAAACCTCATTAAATCCAGTAAATTTTATTTGGAAAAAATCAGAATTTTAGAAGAAATTTCCAAAAGAAAGCGTGAGTTTTTCTTTCACATTTCCTAGTTGTGGAGGGGCTATAGCTTGGTTAGTAGAGTTTGTCTAGCATCCCTGGAGACCTGGGTTTGCATAAACTCTCATGGCTCATACCTGTAATTCCAGCATTCGCGACAGAGAGTTCAGGGGCATCCTCAGCAACAGGAGTTCAGACATAGCCTGGGCTACTTGAGGCCTTGCTTGCCTTGTCTCAAAACCACAAAACAAACAAGTCAACAGACATATATCTTAGTTACTGTTGGTATATTCAAATCACGTGTTTGTTGTTGGAGGTGGCTGGTTTGATTATAGACTGCTGGTTTTGTTGGTTTGTTTTGGTTTTTTTTGCATCACCCTTCCCGCCACCCCACCAGTTTTAAGATTTTTCTTTTTCTTACTCATTTTCTCATACTTTTAGGGCTTTAGCTTCGTTTTTAAGTCAGTGAGTTAATTTTTGTCCTAGTTAGAACCATTCTAAACTTCTTGGACTGACTGATGAGTTTATTGTTCTCATAAAATTTAGAAAATTGCTTTGTCCAGTCCTTTCTCAAATGCTTTCTGTGTGCTCCTCCTCCCTCTCAGAGTTAGATTACCTGCTGTTGGCAGTCCCTCAAGCCGCTGACACTTGTTTGTCTTCAGTCTTGCTTGTCCTTGTGCTTTGTTTTGGATAGATTCTGTGACTATATTTTCTATTAAAATAATCTTTTATCCCATACTGTCTACATTGCTGTGAGTCTCAGGAGAATATTCTACATCGGATTTTATATAGGCCCTTTCTACAAGTTCCATTTTGTTATTGTTTTTAAACTTCACATATACCTATATGAACTATATCTTACGAAAACTGTTCATTAACAGTTTTAATCGAAAGACTATTTAGCCTTTGCTCATATACTTGAAAGATTCAAGTACACAATTTCCCAGTTGTGAGATTCATATAAGATGATAACCTGTACATTCCAAAAACTTAAATCTGAAAAGTTTTAAACTGTTACAGATGAGCAAAACCCAGCTGTTGTCCTCTGCATTTTTTTTGCTTTAATAAGGAAGGTAAAGAGAGATGACAAAGGGTGCAAACCCCAGTTCCCTTGCTCTTCGCAGCAGCTGCCTAATATAATGCATCCTAGCCTACATTGCCTAGCCCCAGGGAATGACAAACCCCTTCTATACCAATTGCTTCTTTATAAATAACAGATAGTGAATAACTGCTTGCAGTCATTGCTTATAATGGTGATAGGTGCTGGGGAGAGTCATGGTCTTGTTGCAGGAACAAACACAAAGGAAGAAAGGAGACTCTTAAGATGGAGAATAAACACAGGGCTTCATGGAAAAGGTTGCTTTGGGATGGGACTTGAAGAATGAATGCATTTTTGATATGGCATGCAGAAGCTAGGGAGTCAAGAAGACAAGTGTGTCTGAGCTGCTAAGACCGCTCAGCCAAGAGGCTCCTGACTTATGTCTGGAGAGGAAGGCTCTGGGTACCTGGGTCTCCGCAACGCCAAGGTTTCAGCATCCACCAAGCGTTGGCACCGGTCATTTTCCTGGAGTAGTTTAC